TGGCGGCAGCGGCGGCGGCAGCTCGGGCGGAGGCCTCAAGTCCTCCTCCGGGTCCACTGGAGAGTCCTCATCTAAGGGACCAAGGTCAGCTGAAACTAGCTGGGGTAATAAAAATTAGTTTTAACTTTCTGTGATGGTTCTCTTGCTTTTTTAAGCTCTGGAAGCTGTTTTAAAAATTAAAACCATAGGGTTCCCGTTTAATTTTTTAAAAAACAATACTCCTCGTACCAATCTTGAAAGGAAATGGCATGGTTTAAAATGCTATAGCTTAAACTTTGCTCGGATTTTATTTTTAAGTAACGTGAAAAAGTTAATCTTTTTTAATTTAGTGTATTTTTCTTCCAGAAATGTTGCTTGTTAATTAGTGGGGACCCCCATAAATTGCTTAGTCTGAATTGTAATTTTTGTGTGTGATTCACTTACAGATACTAACAAAGCCAGAGTAATCAAGACAATTATTGAAGAAGTGGCACCAGATGGTAGAGTCCTTTCATCTATGGTTGAATCAGAAACCAAGAAACACTACTATTAAGCCGCATCAAGAGTAAAGTCTCTCTTCTACAGGCCATTTAATACAGATACATGAAAAACAAAATCTTCAAGATAATACCTAAGTCTTAATGGTCTATGGAAATAGTTTCACTCCTTGAAAATAAGGTGTCTACAAGCTGTTTTGTGGTTTCTGTATTTCTTTTCACTTTACCAGAAAGTGTTCTTTAATGGGGGGGAAAAAAAAAAACTTTCTATTCTCATTTACTAATGAATTTCAATAAACTTTCTTACTGATGCAAACTGTCCAATTTGGTTGGAATTGTCTTTATTTAAATCAGATACTGTTTTTAACCTTAAGATTATAGCATTTTGAAGATTGATTTATCCAGAAATTCTGAAGACAATTATTGCCATGATTTTTCTGAGTAAATTTTTTAATCTTGTGGGTATGTTGGACCAAACGTCAGTAACCTCACTGAGTAAAAAGTTCATGAGTGCCCACTCTTACTTTTCCTTAAAGATAAACAATATGTAGAAAGCTCCCAGTTCTCTAGCTGTAAATTACTTCAGGCCTGGAAATTCTGAAATATCTCAAGAGCCCAAAAATAAATTTAATAGGAAATTTCACATTTTCTGATTACTTGACTTGTTACATTTACCTGCCCATATTTTCTTCCCATTTCCACATCTGCCAAATTGCTATACTGCATGAGATACTGTCCAATCAGCCCAGTAAAAATCGCATTGCCCCAACAAGATTATTTGGTGTCTATCAGATGAATAGGAGAAGCAATGTCAAGACATGGTGATGCCTATTTGACCAAAGGGATACCTCTATGCTTCTGCCTTTGCCAACCCAGCTCAGTGATCAGTATTTAAGATCTGGTGCTTATAGGGTCAACCCCAGCACATCCTTCACCCAATAAGAACCTAACTGACATTACTTCATCCTCTGCTGGTATATGGGATAGGTAAGGGCTGGAGTTATTCTGTGCCCCTGAGACTTCATTGTGTTCTCTGGATTACCCATGTCTACCAATTAGCGTTCCTCAATATCCTTACTGATTTGAACTCCCGTTTTCCCCAAGACCTAAGGCCTGGTCCCAAGGCCATTTGTATGAGACTCTTGCTAAGTAAACCCTACCCTCTGTACCCCAAATTGATGACTGAAGCCCTATTTCAACATGAATGGATTTCCCAATAGTCAAGTTCACATAACCTCCCTGACACCATATATTACCAAAACTCAGAGACTCTCCACTTTATATGTCCTTTCATATATGTCCTAGCCACTCTTGTGGAGCCAGTCTTCTAAGGTTCACTGTTGAAGTCCCAACATGCCACATTTTAAAGCCCTGAACCATGTTGCTGCGTAAGGATACTTTACCTACTGTGTATATACTGACTGCTGTTCAAAACCACTTATCTTTTAAAATATTTATTATCTAACAAAGCTAACCAGTTTCTGGGGCCTAGAGTATCGTTCCATAATCTGAGATGTCCATTCTCATTATTCTAAAGAAATAAGTTTTCATGTTTAATAACACTAATTTGAGACAAGTACAAATATGTTTTTATGAGATTAAGCTTTGTCTTTTCTACCCATGCATAAACCAAGATCTCAGCTGGTCAGAGTTCTTTATCTCATTAGGTGGTGAGCCAAAACTTCATTCCTGAAAGGTCTGAATCATGGTAGTCCTGTCTTATTTTTTCAATCTTCCAACATCTCCTCAAGCAATTATTTATATTAAATTCTCTCTGATAAAGAACTTTCTTGATGGATGTTAACTTATTGTGGTAATGGTTTTGCACAATATGTATGTCAAATCATTATGTTGTACGCCTTAAATTTATACAGTGCTGTATGTCACATATCTCAATAAAACTGAAAAAAACTTTTTAACTGGATTCTGAAAGTACAGTTTAATAAGGACAGTCTTTCTAAACAAACAATTTGATTTTGACAAATTCATTGGTATTTGTAGTAAAAAAAAAAAAAAATTGTTAACTGTACAGGTCACTATTTCCACTACATAGATTTATCATATAGCTATTAATCAAAAATCCTGTACATGTTATTACAGATTCTAAATTTGTTACAGAGTCCTGCTATTTAAGCAAGACGTTGTCCAAATAGACTAGCAGAGGCAATTTTTGACACTCATGTGGAGTCCTATTAAACAGTAAAAGATTCTCCAAAGATTTTGCCTTATGCTGCTATAGGCCTTAAAGCTTTCCATGCTAACCCTGCTATTCATGATAGCTTGATATTTCGGGCATGGAGAATTAACTTTGTTATAGTCAGCTTTGTAGGGGAAATAGATTGAGTGAGGTTAACTAAATAAGGTCAATCCAGAATTCACCATCTAGGTTGCATCTTGAGAGTAGGAATTAGAGTTCATTTGTAGTTTTAAGTGTTTTAACATCATAACTCCTAGACTTTATATCCTGGCGCTGGCATTTACAAATCATATAACTTTTGGATGAATTACTTAAACCCTCCTGAGTCTCAGTTTTCTTTTCCATGCAATAGGAATAATAACTATCTTCTATGAGATTATTGCGGGGATAAAATGAATTAATAACTAAGAAGCCCTTAGGAAGATGTCTACCATTAAATAGGTACTAAAGAATCAATATTCTGACCATCATAGAAGAATATTCTTATTGGTTAAATAACCTAATTTCCGTAAAGATGAATATGAGCATCACAATAAGTTAGAGTAGGTGATCATTAACATAGTCTGCCAAGGAGTAGAGAACACAGCCACATTGCTGGCCTAGAGCTGCAGAACTAAATTCTAGTCAGTAGGAATAATGACGAGAGTGTGTTACAAAGGATTATGACTAATCTAGTCCTGTGAACCTGAAGTCCAATAATATAGAGCAAGAAGTTTGTGGAAATAAGTGAGAAGGACCAGATAACTGCCCTGAAGGTTCGAGATAGTTGATCATCCCTAAAATCTATAGCTGTGGTCACCCTGATCATGATGCAAACTATCTAAGCTATGTCATTATGTGACAAAGAGAAACAAGTCATCACAAAAGAAATAAAGGCTTGAAAATAGATATAAAAAATATTTCTTTTTTGACATACTTTTTGAATCAGGTTGTCCCACAGAAAGCCATGCCAAAGGAGGAAGGACTCTGAGTTGTCACATTCATCCTCAGTGTCTTTAGATAAAAATACAGCGCTGTCACATTCCAACACTGAATAACAGATCTTTCCAGCCTAGTATCAGTAAGAAAAGGAAGGAATTATTGTTCATTGGTATAAATATTGGATGCGACCTCAGAAAAGAATTTCTGTAGTATTCCGAAAATCATTTTGTCCTTGAGGATTTTAGCAAAGACAAGATCACATACTTAAGCTTTTAATTAACCTTTCCTACTCAGAATAACATATCTTAGGAGAAATGCTTGAAAAATATGAATAAATGGGTTCAAAGGCTAGCTGAACCATGACCGAGCTAATGACCCCTTCATTAAGAGTTTTGATCTACAGAGCCTCGTTTTGTAAAGTAAGAAATTTTAAGGGAAGACTAGAAAACAAAATGGCACCAAAATGCATCTCGATAGGTTGAACAACAGCTGTTGTAATGATAAAAGCAAGTGGGATATTGCTAATAAGTACATGAAAAGATGCTCAATATCACTGATCATTGGGGAAATGCAAATCAAAACTACAATAAGATACCACCTCACACCCATTAGGATAACTACTATCAAAACATAGAAAATAGCAAATGTTGGCAAGGATGTGGAGAAATTGGAACTCTTGTGCCCTGTTGATAGGAATGTAAAATGGTACAGCTGCTGTGCAAAACAGTATGATGGGTCTTCAAAAAATTAAAAATTGAATTACCATGTGATCTAGCAATAGCACTTCTGGGCCCAAAATAATTAAAATCAGGGCCATGTTTACAGCAACATTATTCACAGTGAGAGTTTGGGAGACATCTATTATCTTCCTCTCTGTATCTTCTGTGACTAGGACAGTGCCTGGTGCATAGTAGGTGCTCATTAAAGTTTCCTTTACGTTGTTATAAGTTTTATAAGAAACATAAGTTGTTATAAGAAACAAGTTTCCTCATCTTAAATCAGAAGAAAGAAACCTTTCTTCCCAATTCCCAGATTCATTGTAAGGTTCAAATGAGATAATCCACAAGAAATCCCTTTGGAAGCTGTAAAGCACCATAGAAATGCAAGGATGTCTTGTCTTTATATTCATTGTGCTCTGGCACTTTGAAAAGATCCGTGTTGAGTGTGCTTCTTATCAGGGAGTTAATTGTTTCCAGTTGAGGGCATATAGGATCCAGGCTGAAGCGAGGGTTCGGAACCTGAGCAACATCCATTTGAAGGTGAGCACTGCCCTCTGGTGGAAATGGTAGGGCAGGGGCAAGTGTGGTTAACGACGTGGAATTGCCAGGAGTGACACTGACTGCAAAGGAGAAACCACTTACTTAAACTTACGCTTTTTAAAAACAGCGTCTTTCCTTTTTTTGTCACAGTATATTCTTTTGCAAAATTTTTTTTACATATGCAGAATGTAAATACATTACACCAATAACTTGTCTAATTATTATTATTTACAGTTAATCAGACACTGAAGAGATCTTAAAATTCTTTATATATTTTAATATTCTAATTATTTAATATATCAGCTCAATAATTAAATTAATGGAAAGAATAATTTTGCAATTTATACAACATGTTAAGACTATTGATGGCAATATATAAAGTAGGTATTTATATCAGTATGTATCGTTTAAAATATATCTAAAATATGCTCATGATGCCAGAATTTCAAAGCCATCTTGAATATATACTAAGTCTTCACCTGGCATGTGCCTGGTGACTCTGAGCAAACTGTCTAATGTTTCTGGATCTCGGTTGCCTAAGGTGATGTCTAAGGTTCTTTGCATGTCTAAAATGATCTTACAACTTTGCCCAAAAGATGCATTTGAAGGCCATGCCGATGCTGGCCAGGCTTCAGATTCCTTGCTCCAGCGCAGTTCCAGAAAACTCCCTGACCATCCTGGTGGCAAAACAACTTTACACCTGTCTTCACCACAGAACCTGAAACCAGTCAAGTCCAAATCCCTCTCCACCTTTTTCACCCCCACCCACCTTGCCACCTCATAAAGATTCTCAGGTCACTTTTCCTTGTTCACCTCACCTTCCTTCTCAGCTTGACCTCCCCCACACCCCAACACACAGACACACACACACACAGACACGCACACACACACACAGTTTGTAACACAATAACAACAACAATAATAATAATAACAGCTGTCACTCATTGAGTTTTTCATTTGCCAGGCACTGTGCTAAGCATGATTTCCTTTAGTGTCTCAACAAGCTTACGAGGTGAAAATTCTTTTTATCCACATTTTGATAACTATCTTAACCCTTTATGCAGGGCTCTGCAAAAAGGGTTCAATTGAAAAGACTTTTTTTTATGTCATTAACCACTCAATGTACCTTTCTCCTAAACTGACCTAGCTACTTTTCCTATTAGAGACTGATCATGTGACCCCATACCAATTATCATCTTTCTCTCAAACCATATATCCTTTCCCACATCCCTTCCTACTCCCATCTCCTCTCCCTTTTGTCTCTTCAACCTCCATCTTCCCTCTCCTCCCTCTCCCCTTCCTCCCTCTCTCCATTCCCTCGTCGCCACTCCCACTCCACTTCCACATACCTAATATATGGACTTCAAAGCAGAATCTGTATTCTCTAGATCCCCAATGCCACATCCAGCTTCATGCCATTTAATTCTTAAGCTAAAATTCTTCTTTAAGGCTAAAGCCATCCAGTTGCTCCTCACCACACTCCCTCATCACCTGAGAATTTGGGCATTGCTTCTCTCCCATTTCCTGCCATCATTCAACACAGTAATCTAATGGTTCCTAATCTCCTATTCCAATGACTTTTGGGTCAGTCCACTTCTGATCTCTTGTTCCAGTGACTGTTGAGTCCAGTCCCTATGGTTACTGACCAACTTTTGTCAAGGTCTGGGGTTTTGTCTACTTTAAAACTCTAAACTCTGGCTTTCACTGTCTGACTTTAACCCCTCAAACCACTGTCAATCTTCTGCTCATACTCTTGACTGCTTCATGGTCACATAGAGATGCCCAATGACTCAACTTCGTCTTTTCCTCAGTGAATCTATCCCTCTGGTTCTACTTCCCTCTTCATATATGGTCCATCATCTCAACTGTTTCTCAAAAACACTAGAAATTTCTTAGGTACTTTTTCCTTTTTCTGAACCTGTCTTCAAGCCCCCAAACACACATCAGCCTGATCATCATCTTCTTATTCCTACATCAGGATAATTTCCAAATAGGCTTTTGAATGTCATTACAAATAAGGGCTGAGCCCTCGATTATCCCTGACAATTCTTTCACCCATTGCTGCTCAGGTATTCTTCCCAGTTCCATGTACTTACTCTAAACATTCACACTTGCTATCGGTCATCTTCATCTGAGACATTCCACCAATCCCTCAAACCCAGTTGTTCCAAAATTAAACTCAGTATCACGTTCCTCCTATATTTCCTATCTCAGTTAATATTATGTGATCCCAGCATCTGAAGTCAATTACCTAAGAGTCATCCCTAATTCTTCCTTCTTCCTTCTTCTCCAAATTTACTCCATGGCCATATCCTCCCGACTTCTTCTTCTTTTCATCCCACTGCCTTTATCTTTCCCAGCTGGACCATTGTCCTTATCTCATAATCAACTTCTGTTTTCATTTCAACCTGATATGTTGTCCTCTGCTTTTTACTTAGGATTCATTCCAAACACTTTAGACTAGCACAGAAGGCTAAACATGATCCAGCCCCTGTCTGGTCCTGACCATACATTTCTTAAAGATTGTAACCATATCTTTTTCATCTCTGCATTTATTTAGCTTCATGTTTTCATTTTTGCATTTAGCACTAAACACCAGACATAGTAGTTATACATGTTAAATGAAGGAATTAGTCATTTAAAATAATAACAAAATAATAAGAAAAATAACAATATTTATGTTATTGCTCAAGGTAATTAATAGATGTTATAATCATGGTAAGACCAGAGACGTTACCAGGATCATATATTTTCCTTAAATAACACTTTTTTTTTGTTCTGGTGGGATAAAATAATGTGTTTCTGTTGTTAATGGTTCTTTATATACCTCTCTAGTAATTTAGGCCCTACTGTGGCTGATAGTACATGATTACAGTCTTACTTAACTTTTAAAACTTTATAATATCCTGTGTCAGATAATGATAGTATATTCCTAGGGTCTAGATGAAAGTAAAGGATTACTCACTTGAAATTAGAAGTTAAAAAAATGAACCTAATATAGAATGAACCCTATTATATTTAAGATAACAAACTCCCTGAAGCAACAGACAGAGATGTTAGACATTAATTTTTTAAAAATCATCCAATTATACATAATTTCACGCTCATCTGAATGATGCTATTTTTCTTTTGGCATGTATAACTCAAATAGAAACACCCCAATAGTTATGTATAAAAGCCCAAAGAAACCATCAGTGCAAAACATTCTGTCCTCCTCTGAAGTTACAGGTATCCACAGACAAGGCGAACATTTCTTGTACTAGCATGTCCCTCCGGTTTTCTAGTGGGTCCAGGCGTATTCACTTACGGTCTGGAATTGGATCTGTCAGACCATCCAATGGAGGTGCAGGCTTTGCAGGCAGCAATGCATGTGGCAGCTCTGTCGCTGGAAGTGGATTCTCCTGTGCCTTGGGAGGAGGCTTGGGCAGTGTTCCTGGTGGAAACCATGCTGGTGGTGCTCTTGGTGGTGCTTGTGCTGGCTTTGCTGGAAGCGAAGGGGGACTCCTCTCTGGGAATGAGAAGGTGACCATGCAGAATCTTAATGACCGCTTGGCATCCTATCTGGATAATGTACATGCTCTGGAGGAGGCCAATGCTGAACTAGAGAGAAAAATCAAGGGTTGGTATGAAAAATATGGTCCCGGATCTTGTCGCGGACTTGATCATGACTACAGCAGATATCACCTAACAATTGAAGATCTCAAGAATAAGGTGAGAAATCACAAATTTGGAACTATTCAAAGTATTTAAAACTAAGAATCACTTAGTTTTACACAATTACAATAGGAAATGCTTCATAACTGTGACCTGCAAGTTATATTGTATGTATTTATTATTTATTTTGATAAATTATTCTTCCTGTTAGTCGAAAAAAGACACTTGGGTTCATGAATTTCAATGTAGTTTAAACATTACTAATTTCATTATTGTTTATTTTGAAATATATTCATTAACAAGAAAGAATTATATTCTAAGTTATATTAGTATATGAGAAGTAAAAACTGTACCTGTACTTTTTTAAGTTAAATTTTAAACACTTTGGTTGTTAAAGAAGTCAGATTCTTAGGCAAAAACTTAATTGGGTAACACCTTTTATCTCCTGAAATAATAAATTATAAAAGCAGGCTTACTCATTATGTTCTTCCTTTTGATTTTTTTCTAGATTATCTCTTCCACTACTGCTAATGCTAATGTCATTCTGCAGATTGATAATGCTAGACTGGCTGCTGATGATTTCCGGCTAAAGTAAGTGATAGAAATAATCACACTCTAAAAAAATTTTCCTATCTATTTTATTTGTTAAGTAAAAATTTCAATTTTATCCCAACTAAACTATAACCTAAGAGATTAAAGGAATTAACGTATGTTATACTACAATATGATACGAAGCATGTTGTATTTCAATCAGCTATACTCACAATTTCTACATATTTATTACATTGTTGGGACAAAATATCACTGTATTTCTATGCCTGCCTAGAATAATGCCAAGAACAATGTAGATGTTTATAAATATTCATTGACTAAGTAAAAATATTAAGATGAAATTCCAAATAGGTATATTTTTATTTAATTGGGATATGCCATTGAAATTTGTGTGACTAAATATCTGCAGATTATCCTGCATATATTTGGGTGATAAGGGTGAAGGAGAGCTTTCTTTGTATATTTTTATAATTTTTCGAGTCTTAATTCAATTTTTAACTTTCAGTTAAAAGCAATTGTGGTTTTATTTTTCCATCTCTTGAGGTAGTCTCACTTGTGCTGATATTCATTTAATGCCTCCCAAGGTATGAAAGTGAGCTCGCCCTCCACCAAAACACAGAGGCTGACATCAATGGGCTGCGGCGCGTCCTGGATGAACTGACACTCTGCAGGACCGACCAGGAGCTGCAGTATGAATCCCTGAGCGAAGAGATGACGTATCTCAGGAAAAACCACGAAGAGGTAGGAGAAGTTTTACTTCTAGTCACATCACAATTCTGTACATTTTAAATACTTCGAAGGGAACCATTAAATTATAATAGTCATTCGTGCTCATTATAATAATTTGAAAATGCCAAGGCATGTAAGGGAAGAATTTCATTTCTCCCACTCTGCCCTTCTAATCTCATCCCACAAGGTAATAAATGTTAACAAATGAGATAGGCATCCTTCCAGTTTTTAGACTGACATAATATTCTATCTTTCTGAAAAAAATACATTCTTTTTGTATTAATGCCACCATCTTTCTTTCCACTACATTATTTCTTTTACTTACATAGGCTTATCTTGAGGTCAAGCTTCTCACAAAAGATCTCTCTGACCAGGAAGATGTCAATCTTTTCTCTACTTAATGAGCCTGGGTTTACTTTAATGTTGAACCCCGCACGATAATAACCTCATTATTTGACATGTAACACCAGGCAACTTCAACCCCCTAGAAAAATTATTATCCCAAAAGTAATTGCAAAGTCTCCAAAACCATGGATGACAAATTTTCAGAAAACCACCTATGACAGAACATGCCCTATTATTGGTTAAAAATGGCTAAAACACCAAATCTACTGGCCCCAAAGGAGAAAATTATGGGAGAGAGAAATAGAAAGAAAAAATCAAAAGGAAAAAAGTAAAATAAAAGAGAAACAGGGAGAAGAGAGACTGTCCCAGAGTAGCGGACTGGCAGAATCAGGCCACCAGAGAATATTAGCAAGAGAGTGAAAAAGCAAACTCATGCATTGCAGGCAATGTGACATGAAAAAAAGAAACAGTCTCGGCAAAGAAATAGCAACCACAGCAGCCTTACCAGGGTAGGGTCAAGGTCACAGCAGGATTCACTGTCCCCTTTAAAGACATATTAAATCAAAAGAAGCTACCTCTGATTGCACGGAGGATGAGAACAAAGAGCCACTCAAGTCTCAACATCCCGTGAGAGTGTCATATTTACCTCACTTGCCAGTGGTCGCTGTCCTAGGATAACTTCAAGCAATTCAATTTTCAAACTTTTATGATGTCAATAATTTTTTTTCACATGGGATCTTGCACAAAACCCCCAAAATATAGAAATAATTTAAAGTAACCAGTGGTCTCCTTGGGCAATGTAAATCTTTTGTTCATGGTGGACAGTGGAAAGCCACTGACCTAAGGTTATAAAAAGATGGTTTAAGAAAGCAGAGATACCAATCCGTCAAAAGCAGTTACAAATGAAAAAGGTCAGCTACCTAAAGAACTAAGTTCAAGTCTTAGTTCTTTAGGCTGATTGGTCCAGAAATCCATTCTCCGACTGGATCAGACTACTTAATGATTCAACCTGGGACATATTCTAAGACATAGAGGCTGTAGGGTACAGTTGCTAAGAGCAGACACTCTGGAACCAGAGTATCTACCAGGTTCAAATCACAGCGTGTTTGAATCCTAGCCCTTCCAAGTACTGAGAATCTTGGGCAATTACTTTACCTCTCTGTGTCTCAGTTTCCTAATCTGTCAAATAAGTCTAATAATAGTACCTACTCATAAAGAGGTTAAAAGACTTGAATAAGTTAATGCACGTAAACTGCTTAGAACAGTGTACTTGGCATTTAACAAGCACTCGATAAATAATGGCAGTTGTTTTTATTAGTTTTTTCCACTGTTTTATTCCCAACTCAGGAACGCTTCCTGACATTTAGTTAATAGTTATGTGTTTAATAACTCTCTGGTCTTTGTATCCACTTCTCATTTAAAAGAATAAAACAGTACTTTGGAGATGTGACTGTTTTTAGTTGTGTTGGCTGTGATTGTTTTAATTAACAGATATCTAATTCAATAGATGGTTGGCATGACCACGGATCAAATAAGTCCATTTAAAAAATCTTGTGCCTTGAATTAGACAGTCGAATCCTTGAATTAGACAGTCGAATTTAAACCACAGACTTGGAGACATAAAGTAACACTTTAGGAAACTCTTCTAAGACTGCAGACTGCGAGTGAACATTAATGGACCCTAAAGTCACGCTCACCTGCCCCCCTACGCCCCCGCCCCAGGAAATGAAGGCTCTGCAGTGCGCCGCTGGGGGCAACGTGAACGTGGAGATGAACGCGGCGCCTGGCGTGGACCTCACGGTTCTGCTGAACAACATGCGGGCTGAGTACGAGGACCTCGCGGAGCAGAACCGCCGGGATGCGGAGGCCTGGTTCCATGAGAAGGTGAGAAGGTGAGGGCTGCCTACCCATCCAGCCCAGCCCATTGACACTCGGTGGAGACAGACTTTGGTTAACCCCGCTGTGCCTGGCCTTCCAGAGTGCCACTCTGCAGCAGCAGATCTCCGACGACGCGGGCGCGGCCACCTCGGCCAGGACCGAGCTGACGGAAATGAAGCGCACCCTGCAGACCCAGGAGATCGAGCTCCAGTCTCTCCTGGCGATGGTAGGTTAGACCGCAGGTCGGCCTGGATTTTGTGATTCTATCAGGTCTGAAACCCTTCCCTTCTTCCCTGTTATAGCTTTACCTACAAATACTTAACGGAGAGAGCAGAAGACAGCCAGAAAGAGTGAGACACTCAGAAAGAGAGACAGACAGAGCTTTCTTCCTCCTTGAGATGAGGTCTCTTAGGATTCCTTTCCTGGAGGATGCCCAGTGCCCATTTCATGAGATAGTTTCTTCTTCAGATAGTTCAGCTCCGCCCCAGACAGCAAGCAACTGTAGTATTGCTCTACCTGAAAATTAAGTAGCAGGCCTACATCAGGGCACCTCGTAGAGCAGAGATAGTGTCATCAGAGTCTCTTACTTTGATGAAAACCTATTAAAAGGTACATTATGTTTTTCATCAGTCAGAGGAAAAGAGGGTACATATCTGATTCCATATGAGCTCTGCCGCCTCTTTATCCTCACTGTGTGAGGGCAGAAGTCCCATCCTGACACACCCCACAGAGCCAGGCCAATCACCTCAGAGGTTACCAGGGAGACAACCCAGGAGTAACACCAGCTTCCCTCCTGGGGTGTGAGCTGCAGTACCCAAAAGCCTTGATTTTGAAAATTATGGCACACACATGGCCCAAGGGTTCCCCGTCAGCATCAGAGGTTGTATGCCCCCTGATGACGCCAGGTCATAGCACAAAGAAAGAACCACCATTATACAAATGAGTACAGTGAGCCAAGAAAGAAAAGATGATTCAAAACATATAATAGGAAGATTTTGATTTAGCTACCCAAACAAGGCGTAGTCCTTTCTTACCATGTGGTATTTAAATTGGAGATTTGTTTTACCACTGATGTCCCCCAACTTAACCAGCATGCCCCTTTTCTCATTCTTGTCACCACTCTTGGCTGGTACCTGAGACCCTCACTGCCACATTGAGCTCCTGGAACCCTCCTCTCTTCCCCGTTCCCTTCTTTCCTATGACTAGAACCCTGAGCACCAATCCTTCCTCTCGTTTCTGAGCTATGTTGAAGGAAATAAATTCTTGAGTTCCCAGATCAGAATTTAAGCATTTTCACAAAGAAACAACAATGTTAGAAAACAGTAAGATTCTATGCAGTGAGTAATACTGTAGTTTGGGCTCAGGAGACAATCCACAATAAAAAGCCCATTTAAACAAACAACATAACTGAATTATAGAATAATGGCAACACAAAACCTAACTTCTATACCTGAGATTCTTTTATCATAAGATGAATTCTAAGCTTATTATAGAATAATAATTATAGAATAATGGACACAAAACCTAACTTCTACACCTGAGATTCTTTTATCATAAGATGAATTCTAAGCACAATCTTCTATAGTTTAGCACACAAATCATGTGTAAGTTGGGAATTGTCAAAATCTGTATACTGATTTGTACACAAACTTCCAAGTTCATCCTGTCCTCCTTCCTCTTCTACAAGCCAACCTTTACAGCAGAAGGCTGTGAGATAGAGATGTTATGCCTTCTTCTTTAGGAGAGTATTAGCAGTCTTAAAAAGGAATAGCATATGAGGACATATCATGAAGGAAATTAGTTTGAACAGCTGAGCACACAGCCCACTGGCATCCTGCGGCTTGTTGCCTCACCCTCCCCATTACCATCTTGGTCACCTTCCACCCCTTTGCCTCTGGAGAGCCCAGCTCCACCCAGGTAATGCACCAGTCATCCTATTAGACACTGTTTGGATGATTATTCTATAACTCCCACTTTACAATCCTAGATGAAGTCAATAGATGACATGCTTAGCAATACGCACAAAAAAATTTAAACCAGTATAATAGCATAACTGCAATAAAAAGGAAAAATAAAATTACTTCAAAATAAAAGATTTTATATGTAAATACTTGGGCCCAGCTATCTTAGAACATATAATGTAAGAGACAGAGGCTTACACATTCCTTGGATAAATAAGTTTTATTTTAAACAATGTAAGACCAGGAGTTGCTCCAAACAAGAAGAAAAGGAAAATGAAAGAATGGAGTGGGGGTGGACACTTGAATAATAACTAATATCAGGAGAAGTATTAACTTCCCAGATGTATTTATATATGATAAGGAAAGAGGAAAATTACTTTAATTAAAGTAGGGATCACATGACAAGACAAATTAAAGACTGTGGAAGTAGAAATGAGGAGGTATAATATTTATAAGAGTAGTATTGAAATAATGACCTATATTGTATTATTAAATAAATCTCTTGCCTTGAAATCCCACTTCTTTTAAGGCATTTATTCAATCTCAGTGCTTAAGAAAAGGCCTTTGAATGACAAAAGAAAATCGAGGATGGATTTGAAAAAGAAACAACAGCACAAAAGGCCTTGAAACAGTGGCGGAGTAGATCTCTGGGGGCAGTAGCAGAATTAGATTGAAAAACAATAGGCAACCAAAAAATAAAAATAAATATGTAATTTCAAAATATAAGATTTCCAATATTGATTTCTTATTGTGCTACCCCAAAAAAGTGTTTTAATATATAGGCTGGTCATAATATGAAATATTACCTAAATATCATAAATGTCCATTGGAACAGTCAAAACTCTTTGGGGAAAGGGTTATTTATCTTATGTCAGGTCATCCAGCATGCCTACCCGTCTCCCACCTCCAGAAAATGCCAGTCACTTCCCCTTCCTCTCCTTCATCCATTTTATTGTGACGAGCCTCACAGATTTCCACAACTTGCCTAGGGAGGAAGACTGCCTTTTGCTGGGAAACACTAAGTCTACATAGTCCTCAAAGTGGCTTCATCCCTTGCTCTGACATCTTTTATGTCCTCAGAAACACTCCCTGGAGTGCTCCTTGTCGGAGACAGAAGGCAACTACTGTGCGCAGCTGGCCCAGATCCAGGATCAGATCGGGGCCCTGGAGGAGCAGCTGCACCAGGTCCGAACCGAGACTGAGGGCCAGAAGCTGGAGTACGAGCAGCTCCTAGACATCAAGGTCCACCTGGAAAAGGAAATCGAGACCTACTGCCACCTGATAGATGGGGATGGAAAGTAAGTGACACCATTTGTAAATCCAGTTTTACCTATCTTAAACCACAGCCATCTGCTGCCCTTTCACATTCCGTGCCTCCAAAACTTTTCTTCTTCATTCTCACAGCAGAAAAGCATGTCTATCTCTTGTCCCTGCAGTCATCTCTTCCATATTTTGTACATCAGAGCCTCTTCCTCATCTGCCTTGGACGATTGTCCTTGCAGAGGTCCCTATTTATTGTGTGTCTACGTGTATCTCCACCTTTAGTTTTAAATTCTTTGGCTTAGAAATATCAAAAGGAAACAAGGTTGTTTTATATCCTCTCTTTAATTAATTTCAGCTCCTGCACAAAAAAAATTTTTAAATATTTTTCTTTACAAAAAAACTAAAATCTGTTTTTGACATACAAAGTTCACTTGAGTTTATGTTCACACATAGATTCAATGACTATTTCTTAAGTGATAAACAAAAATATTAAAAAATAAACTTTTTTTTTTTTTTTTTTACAGCTCATGCTCTAAATCAAAGGGCTTTGGATCAGGAAGCTCAGTGAATTTATCTAGAGGTAATAAAATCTAGTTCTATTTCTACTGCAGCAAATACTTTTACATTAATGGTAATCATACATTATAGCAACAGCCTATATATTTAAGCAATTTTTACTAAAGTGCTTGAAACTTAAAGTCTTGTTTTGAATGGATAAAACTATCCCAAACTATTATAAATCTATACTTATTCCCTAACCAAAAATGTACATATTATATTACAACCAGCAGTAGAATTCTTTGTCATGTAATAATTTTTTAGGTTGAATATATGTATTCACATATGTTTTTTAAATTTCTAGATTTATCCAAAACCACACTGGTAAAGACAGTGGTTGAAGAGCTAGATCAACGTGGTAAAGTCCTTTCATCGAGGATTCACTCCGTTGAAGAAAAAACATCTAAAATGACCAATGGGAAGACAGAACAAAGGGTTTCTTTCTAACTGTTGTTTTTGAGAAAAGAGTAATTTGGGAAAGGATCCCGCACAGCTTCATTATTCTAAATATCAAGGAGATAATAAAATACTTTCTTTCTACCCTTAAAGACAAGTTACTTAGCAAAAATACCTGTTTTCTTAGTTACCTTTTACAGGAAATGGGGTGTTTGTTTTCAAATAAATAAAAAAGTTGTGCATTTATTTCCATTTACTCACAATTAATAAATAATTATTGGAAATTTATTTTTTCTATGTCTGATTCATTAATGGAATATATTCTAATGGATTTGACATTTTTATACCTTACAATGTGATCACCTCACTAATTCTAGTAATCATCTGTCATCATGCAAATATCACAGTATTATTGACTGTATTCTCCTACCCCTTTTCACCCATCCTTCCGCCCCCTCCCTCTGACAACCATCCCTTTGGTCTCTGTTCCCATGAGTCCTTTTTTACATGGACAAATAATCTTGAAAATTTCAGCAATTCTCCTGTGATTGAAAAGTCTCACCTCTAGATGGCACATTCCCAGTATTTTATCCATGATCCTTTCTCAAACTCTTCTGAAGATCTAGATACTTCCCAGGACGCCACTTCCCCTATAATCAGAATTATCTCTGGAAAGATCCACAGTAATGAGCTTCATGTTAATGACTTTTTTCTAGAGCATATACCGGGAACCAGTTAAAACTTTTAGCTATTTTTTTGTCATCTTTATCTTTATAATTTTAAATAGGCTTTGTTCAATATTTCTTGATTTATCAATTTTAGACTTTATAGATTGTCTTCTTAAAAGGAATTCGAGAGTCTAGCTCTTACCACCTTTCTCCTCTTTCTAATATAGCTATACTATATTTGGTGAAAAAAATATTCAGTATTTTCATTGTTATAACTAAGTAAATATCGTTCATTGTTGTGTCAAGTGGTATATTTTAATTGTTTTCTACAACTTTTCATTCATCATACAAGAAATATTCTTCTAATTATTTTACTAATCTGGTTTCCTATGTGCCTTAATCTCTCATGCATCTTTCTTACATGACCAAAATTATTAATCATTTACATCGATCCCCTAAGACCTCATACTCAGAATCCTCCAAACTCCTATTAAGTATGGACTATCTGTTTTTTAAACCTGCTACCCAGGTATCATCCAAGGACTTTCATACATTACATTCTTGTATTGCTACTCCATTTCTTGGATCCTCAGCTTTCTTTTTTCTTATTCATTTTTCCCTCTAGGGGCTTCCTGACAAAGTGTGCAAGGAAGGCAAATTTTTTGAGAACTTTCATGTCTGAAAATACCTTTATTTCATCCTCACTCATGAGTAATTGTCAAAGTAGAGAATTTTAGGTTGAACATTATTTTCGCATTTATTACTCCTGATTCTTGATGATATCTTTTGATTTAGAAGCTCAATCTTTTAGTTCTGAGTAGTACTATAGAGTATGTTTATAAAATAATTTCTTCATCATTTCTCCCTTCTCTCTTTCTGAACCTTAATGGTTATTCTTCTTGGACCAAAACTCTAATTTTCTAATCTTTTCTTTTGTCCATCTTTTTGTCCTTTGTTCTGTTGTCGGGAAGATTTTTTTAAAGTTTACTTTCTTTTGTCTTTTTGGTGTATAGAGATCTGTGAAATTGTGGCTTTGGATAGATGTGAATAGTTTCTAAAGCAGTGGCCTCTTCCCCTATTTAGATCCACACCTTACTATGCCTTCCAGATGTTTGACAACGACTCAAAGAAAGAACCAACAAATAGCACTCGGAGGAAACAGACAATAAAGGAAGCTCAAGAAAACGTAAAAAAAAAACAAAACAAAACACTGCCTATGATCGATCTTCTTAGATCTGTGTTTTTTGGTGTATAGAGATCTGTGAAATTCTGTTCAAAAGTAAGGCTTTAAATATTTGAAAGCTCTGTGTGTGCATGTGTGTATTTCACTCCAGGGCGATTGTGTGGCAACCTTCCTTTACTGGGAAACACTCAAATAGCTGTATCTGAAGTTCTTTTCTCTAAGGTTCTTCAGCTTCCCTAGAGAAGGGCCCAGCAACTGGAGCTGGCTACATAATTTGCAGGGCCTAATACAAAATGAAAACGCTGGGCCCCTTGTTCGAAAGTCAGGAAAAAGTTCAATTAGAGGTACTAAAACAAATATTTTTTCTTTAAAAATATTTTATTACTTAGAACATATAACAGAGGTAATATTGATACATACATAATGTTTATTAACTTACAAATTGCAAAATAAAATAACATTTTATGTTGTACAATAAATTATAGTGCTTTATTAACGTGATTTCTTGATGAATCAACAGATTTTTGTGGCTTGCTTTTCTGCAAATTCACTAATTAGGTCATGAAAATTTTTTATTTTTAGCAACTTCATTTCAGTCTATATAATTGAAAGTGATCTGAGTCCTTCCTGGCGAAGAGTTCAAATAATCTCAAATGGAGAGAGCAACATGTACAGAGACCAAAGGGGAGTGAAAAGAGAGTAGCGAAATAAAAGAACAAAGAAGAGAGGTAGGTAGAACCTACATCAAGAAGAGTCTTAAATGTCAGGCAAAGAAGCTTCATCTAGCCTATGATGGATTTTAAACTGGAGGAGAGTGGAGAAAAGGAAGAAAAACTTATTGACTCTATATTATTGACAGCCAGTTGTTTTACATATTTAACTACCCTTTAATGGCCTGGCAAGACAAGTACCAATGTCTTCATTTTCGGAATGAAAAACCAAGGTTCAGAGAGAATGAACTTTGCATGGATCCCACAACTAGAAAATGGCAGAATTGGAATATGAATGCTGATATACCTGATTCAAGAGCTAAAGTTCTTTCATAAATGGTATTGTGCTTCAGGAATGATACCTTGGCACCTACCTGTTGACTGACCATGATGGAAAGAAAAGAGATTTAAAATCAGAAACCCAATTAAGATTCTAATAATTCAGCTGAAAAAAACTAATGACAAGGAAAAGAGAAAAGAGAAAAAACGCTTCAAGAGACACTGCAGAAGTTGATTCAATAGGACCTACTGACTTATTGAATGTGGGCTGGTAGAAAAATGACAGCAATTAGAGATTTCTTAGTAATCTTGAGCATGACTCAAGATAGTTTCACCAACAAGTAATGAAGAGAGATGCAAAAGATCACGTTTTGACGTCAAGGTAATTGTGTGTTGAGTTGGAAGTCTCATAGAACATCCAGGTAGAAACATCTGGAAGGCATAGTAAGGTGTGGATCTAAATAGGGGAAGAGGCCACTGCTTTAGAAACTATTCACATCTATCCAAAGCCACAAGAAAGGATGAGATCACCATGGGAGAGTATGTAGAAAACAAGGGCACCAAGCACAAACTTAAGGAATGGCAAATTTTAGATCATAGAAACTGTGAACTGAGGAAAGAAGAGGAACACACAGGGACGTAGAAGTATTCTCAGAAAGCAATTATGTAAAACTCAGTAAAACTGGGGTGGCCAGTATCAAATGTGTCCGAGAGGGTATAGGAGAATAAATATGAGAACTAATGACTGGATTGGAGATATGTGGTAATTAGCAGCCTTTGAGAGATTATTTTCATAAAGTGTTGGGACCAAAATTCAGGAGTGAATGGGAAGTAAAAAGTGGAGGAAGTGAATGGAGAAAATAGTTCTAGAAATAATGAAAGGAAGAAATGTAAAATTACAAGAAATCTACAATAGAAAGGGAACATACAGGCCATAGCCTAGTCTCTCCATTTTACAGATGAGGAAACTGCGGCCCAGAGTGATACCTTTACTTAGCTTGGTTAGCAGCTGAGCCTAGACAGAAAAATAGTAAAGATGAAATAGTAACTCAGGAGGGAAGAGCCTCAAGGAAAGACTTTCTGTCTCCAAAGAAGAGTCTATTTAATTCCTCAGTTTTCATTTAGGACCTGGCCTCCATCTTCTGCTACCATGGTCTTGAAATTATTTTCAATATATCTGAAAGAAAGATCATATTATCCATAGAAAACTATAACTACGATGCCTCACTTGCTGGAAAAAAAATACAGTGTTGTTGGTATGATCAAGGGAAACAAAAATTTGTCTATCACACTTTTTTATTCTTATAGGAATTTTGTAGTCCTAAAGCCTGGAAGACAGGAAGGCTTACTCAGACTAAATTTGAAATGCATCACTATAATAATCTTGATAACACTCCTCCCTGTCCCATTTCCAAGATAACAAATAACCCCAAGGTAACTATCCACCTACAGAAATGGACGCAGCAGGGTAAAAACATTCATTAAAAAAAAAAAATCACCCAATTATAAATAATTCATGATGAGCTGGTGAGCACCATTTTGCTACGGGTAGCAAAGTTCATCAAGAAACACCCTGATGACGTGTATATAAAGACAAACCGGACTATTTGAGCAGGACATTCGCCATCAGAGCTTCACTCCAGCACAAGCTCCGCAGTCTGGTCACCATGTCTGTGCGCTTTTCTTCTGCATCCAGACGTCTTGGCTCTTGCGGGGGCGTGGGCTCTGTGAGGATGTCTAGTGGGGGAGCTGGCTTTGGGGCCGGAAACACATGCGGTGTGTCAGGTTTTGGAAGCGGTTTCTCTTGCGCCTTTGGGGGCAGCTCATCTGCAGGAGGCTACGGCGCGGGCCTGGGAGGGGGAAGTGCTTCCTGTGCCGCCTTCATTGGGAATGAACACGGCCTCCTCTCCGGCAATGAGAAGGTGACCATGCAGAACCTCAATGACCGCTTGGCCTCCTACCTGGAGAACGTGAGAGCACTAGAGGAGGCCAATACCGACCTGGAGCAGAAGATCAAAGGATGGTATGAGAAATTTGGTCCTGGTTCTTGCCGCGGTCTTGATCACGATTACAGCAGATACTTCCCAATAATTGACGACCTCAGAAACCAGGTAAGAAATACAATATCATGAGGGTTACAGAAGAGTATTTAGCTGCGTGCATACAAATGTTTAAGCTATCACTCCCAGCAAGGCTTTGCTCTCAGCTTCTAATTTTCAGTGGTCTGTTATTAATATTAAAAATAATTTATATTAAAATTCTAATCTTTGAACATGGCTCACTTCGCATCTGGTAGGAGGGAGGTATGCGTGTTTATGCGTTTAATAACATTAAAATATCGAAAACTGCGCAGTGTCTCCAGCTATATTTTTATAAGCTTTTCCACTGAAATAATTTTTTTTAAGGGTGAGGT